GGATTCGGGATTTGATCAAATCCTGGGACGACGTGGACTGCGCTTATGGCGACGGGATCCAGACGAAGAACCCCGAATTTTTGGATCAGAGGCAGTTTCTGGCCTTCTTTTACAAGTTGGTTCATGCGGGGGCCGCGTTGGAGCTGACGGACGAGGAGAATGTTTTGGCATTGTACAACGAATGCTACGAATTGATTGAACGAGTGGAAGTGAGTCACGATTTTTTTTTGTCCGTCCAATTTCTTGTTGCTGATTATTTATTTTCACTTTAAATAGTTTTAAAAAAGCGTGGGCTTTTAAAAATAAGTCCTGAAATAATTTTTATTCCGTCTCACGTTTAGTATGGATTGTATGCCTCGTCTTGTGTAAGGTTTCTTGGAAGTTGATGCACTTTTTCTTTGGCATTAATTTTTATTTTAATACCGATGCACTTCTTTGAAAAAATTGATTTTTCTGCTGCAATGCCTATTTTGAACTGGACTGCTGAAGAAACCGGTCTTGTAAATTTGCTGAAAATTACAGATTTCTGCACATGAAGCATTATAAAGTTTAGCCTCAGTAATTCCAAGCTCCCCATGTCCAGTTTTTTTTTTAAGTTCCTGTCTGAATTAACTAAAGAAAATGTATTAAAAACATCCCTAACTCGAAGGCTTATCACCTGAAATATTTATACTGTACTTGAAAATTTGTGGAGGCTTTTCGCATATTTTATTAACCCAAGAGAGAGAAAAAAACGGAAGTTAACGGTTTTTGAGCCCTTGCCTTCAAGTCCATCATCTTGTCAACTTCTTTTCAACGCAATTTTGGGACAAAAAATACCACGAATTTAAGCTCGGTTACATTTTTTTTCATGTCAACAATATTAATTTCCTCAAGTTGAATTTTCTCTCTGGTCCCTTGCAATTTGACTTGAAGAGTTTCAACTTCAGTAATTGTCTTTATCTCAATTGTACCTGTTAAGAGAAGCTTGCTAACGTACTTTTTGAGGGAAAATGGTTTGGATATGTGTTGAATTGAGGGTTGGCATGAAAAAAAAACCAAGAAATATTCCTCTTATTCAGTATAGAGGCAGTTTGGATGACTTCAACAGTCAACAATGACAAACCCCTGTTTGTATTATATGTACGTATGTATGTATATTTCTTAAAGGCGATTTGGCCCGCGTCCAAAAGCGACGGAGTGACAAACACGTGGATTGTGAAGCCGGGTGCGAGATCGCGAGGCCGTGGGATCCTCGTGTTGAACAAGTTGGACAGCATTATGCAATTCTCGAAGCCCATGTCCAATATTATTCAGCAGGATGAGTCAAGATATGTCGTGCAAAAATACTTGGGTGAGTGAGGCTTGTTTGATTCGGATTCGCGGCTTTTTTTTTCTTTACTGTGGCATTATTATGTGCGTTTCAGAAACTCCGCTGCTTATTCACGGATACAAATTTGATATCAGGCAGTGGTTCCTGATAACTGACTGGAGCCCGCTGACGATCTGGATGTACAAGTGCGTATATACTGTACTGCATATTTCTTTTTTCAAGATTTTTTAAAACGTTTAATCATAGCGCGAGGAGGGGGGATTCCGAATTTTTACGCAAAAGTTTTTAATTTTTGCGGGTGAATGTGTGTAGAATTGATCCTTGAAACAGGAAAGAAAGAAGGAAATGGGAACATTTTATTCAGAAAACCTACCAGAAATTGATCGGCTTCCTTTCAATTGTATAAATTTCTATTTGCACACACACGCACAGAGAAAAAACAAATAACAATTCCCAAATACAAAAGACTTGAATTTCTTTGTGACTTCCAAGGACGTTTACCTTCACTCAAGCGAAGTTTAATTAAAAAGACAAGGAGGCAAAATTCTTGAAACCTTATCACATCGCAATACATTTTTCCGACGCCCTTTTCACTTTTTTCTTTTATGAAAATTGGAAGAAATTTTATTTATTTATTTATTCTGTGTTTAGTGAATGTTACTTACGGTTTTGTACCCAACCGTTTTCATTGACGAACCTCCACGAGTCCGTCCATTTGAACAACTTCGCAGTGCAGAAAAATTATACGATGACCTGTCCGGAGGACATTCCTTTGCCTCGGGATAAAATGTGGGACTCGGAGACTTTCAAGCAGTATCTTGAGTGAGTTTCCGCGATTTTATTTAGTTATTAATTTTTTCAAATTGAGGTTTCGACAACTGGATTTCTTTTTTTTTGCTCAGTTCTTGTGGATTGTTCACGGCTTACGAGAACGTTGTTTATCCTGGAATGCGAGACGTTTTCGTTGCTAGTATGCTCGCAGCGCAGGAAAACGCTGAGCCGAGAGCGAATGCATTTGAGGTTTATGGAGTGGATTTCATGCTTACCTCTGATTGCAAGTGAGTCTTTTCGAGTTTGACTGTATTTATAATTCAGGTTATTTAATGTCATGATTATTTTTTTGTTTAAAAATTTATTCTAGGCCTTGGATCATTGAAATCAATTCCAGTCCGGATCTCAATCATTCAACTCCTGTCACCACTCGACTTGTGCCGCAGATGTTCGAGGATCTGATCAAAGGTCGGTTGCCTTTTTTTTAAAACTTTATTTATCTTTTTACGCTTTGTAAGGAATTTCTTGGTAATCTAATGTGCAAAGTTGGAGATGAAATTTGTTGGATGGATCCCCAAGTAGATGATTTCTGCTGTTATTGTATAGATGTCGCCTGAACTTCGTGATTTTTTTATTTTTGCATTTCATGTTCTGCTTTTGAACGTTAGATTGGTTTAGTCCGGGTTCGTTACTAATGAACTAATTGTAGCTCGGTTGAGGATCCATGTGACACCCGTCAGACTTTTTAAAAATGTAATCCCGGTCGTTCAAGCGACCTAAAATAATATATTATGAAGCTTTCCATTATTTTGAAATATTCCAAGCAGCTGATTTGAATTGCGTGACGTTTTTCCGCGTGTTACTTGTTAATTTCTATGAAATGATCGATGATTATCTTTAGTTCGACTTTTAATCTGAGTAAAACCCTTTGTCGGACTTTTTTTACATCTTAATCTGTGAAAGAGAGAAGTACAGTTTTTTTCCGTTAACAAAATGAAGAATTTCTTCTCAGCGGAATCCGACGAAAAATATTGTTACAAACAGGTGAAATGATCGTTGGATTTTATTTTCTTGTTACCGAGAATGAAGCTGTGTTCTGAATCACTTTTCCAATTCTTTTTTTTTTTCTGTTTTTAGTTTTGATCGACAGAAGAGTAGACAGAAATGCGGAAACCGGAGGCTATCAAATGGTTTATCGACAACAACCCGCCGTGACGCCATTTTCCAGCTTGTCCCTGGATCTTAAAGTTGTGGGTAAAAGAATAGCTCCTGCATTTCCGCCGAATGCCGCCACGGCGCCCACGGCAGTGCCCACAACCACCGCCTGTGTCGCGCAGAAAATCGCCTTCGGAGCGAGACACAGTATCCCTCCAAGTCCCTGGTCTCGTATTTTGATGATGGCGCAGAATGAAGAGGAATTTAAGGCTGCAAAAGAAGAAGCTGCCAAAAGCGCCATGACGAATTTTGGACAAATCTTGGTGGGGAAAAAGAAACCTATGATTACCTTTGGGAAATCCCCTCATGTGGGTATTTCTGATCCGAGTTTATGATTTTTATATGGGTTCTTTTCGGTTCAAATTTTGAACGGTTCTACATTAGATATTTTTTCTTCTCTTAAATTCAAGTTGTTTTTTTTTTAGCAGCGAGCTGAGGGCAATTGACAAAAATTACCCGAACGATTTCATTTCAAATAGTGTATTTAAACTTTCGGAAATTTCGTATTTATGGAGTTTTTGTTTTTGGTCGAAAAAAATTCATTTTATTTTCTTGACTGAATAAATCAACATATTTGATTTTCCACAAAAATGGGAAACAGGGGGATGTCGAGAACGGGAAGATTTCGCTGTCGGGATTTTGCACGCCGCGTCGAGGACAGCGTTCGGCAAGCGTGGCGCCCGTCATGTCGTCGTCGGCTCCGGCGTCGAAGCGGATTTCCGTGTCCTCGCCGCGGAATCCGTCGCAGAGCTCACCCGAGGAGCGGATGCAACGTCTGGCCGTCTTGGCCACACCGAAACGGGCCAGGAAGCCCCTAATTATTGCAAGCTCAGCACCCAGTGTCGTTGTCGCCGCCGCTGCTGCAAAGCAGAAGGCGCCGATTGCTGGCCCGGCAGCGGGTAGGCGACATACTGGCGCCGATTGGCGGAAAAATCTTGCTGCCTGAAGAGAGAAGAACGGGAGAAATCTTTTGAGTGGTCTTATGAACAAATACGAATAAGACTCGACTTCTTGAATCTTGCGCTGTTTTCCGTCTACTTCGTTTGTTCGGGAAATTTTAGACGTGCTGTGCTTGCGATGCTTCCTTTGAATTTGGTTGCTAATCTAACTCGCCCAAAAATGTATTAGCCTGCCTGCTTTTAGAAACAGATGTTCGGGGGCGAAGCCTACACTCAAAATTTTTTGTTTTGAAGTATTAACTGTAGAATTTCTTCAAGAAAACCAGTGTTTCCTTCAATTTTTCGGAATTCGGCGGCAAATTTTATTTTTGAGATATTGGGGTTTGGTTTCCTGAATTTTGAAAAGAAATTGGAGAGCACGTGGTTTTTTTGAGGACGATTTTCTTTTTCTATTGCTTAAAAGTAGGGCGTCTCTTGAAATCTTTGGTTCATTATGAGGTTATGTGAGTGAAAACTTCACCCGAAATTTCCGAAGAAAACAATTGAGTTGCAGGTATTTTGAACCTACCTTCGTATTCATCGGGAAGACGTTGAACTTTTTACCTAACCCTACTCAATTTGTCCATCTTAGTCTGGAGAAGGTGAGTTGATTTTACCTTCTTCGACATATTCTTATCCCAACAGTTCGCAGTGTTACTCTGGGCATCTTGAAGAAAGTCCTGTGATTTTTGTACTTCCTTATGCTCAGTTTCGAAAGGTGAAGAGAAATTCTCAAGAAGATTTTGGAAGAGGAAATCACCTCCTGAGATGTGATATCTTTCGCCAACCCTGTAACGAAAAATTCTCAGCAAGTCAACGGCAGCTCGTGCTAGTTTATGCTTGGTTTTTTCTTCCATCTGCTCTGAAAGTTGTGATACGACGCTCGGGTTCTTTCAAGAACTGAACATTTTGGAGCTTTAAAAAATTTATTCCTGCTGAATTACTTGAGATGCAGTGAGTTTAAGAAATGTTCGTTTTTTTTTTTTGACACTCAATCAAAAGTTTCCGTTGAAGATATACCTCTGTGCCATGAGATGAGTCTCTTGGTTGAATGATTTGCATTCAAATTGTTCATTTTTAGATTCATGTTTCCTGTTTTTCGAATTTATTTATTTATTGGTGCCAGGCTCAAGTGCTGAGGAATTTGTTCATTTATTATTGTGGTCTTAACTCTTGTGGCTTTTTTATGGGATGTCCAAAAGTGTTCTGTGGAAAGTTGAAAATTCGCCAGGAATATTTTCCTTGTTTGTCCTATGCTATGGAAATTGCTGTTTTTCTGGGTTAGATGTCACTGGCTGTCATTTGATTCAAACTGATGCTTTTCAAGCTCTACCTGATCTGATTATTATTTTTTCGTGGATGACTGTGTTCTGGTAGGAGCAAATTTGCTTGATCTGGTTCCTTTTCAATTTGAGGCAATTCTACAATCTCACCGTAATCATCGCATACTATTTTTGACTTGATTGTCATTGTAACTCTGAGGCCATTTTATTGGAAATTTGAAACGCGCTGAATTTTTTTTTCGCTACACCGGAACTCATCGGACACCCTGTATGATTGTTTCCTGAAAAAGTTTTGTTGATTGGAAAAAGCAAGTTGGAAAAGGTTTCCGGCTTTTAGCAGATTTTCGGCTATTAATGCCAGTGTAAAGATAACGAAGTTCACTCCAGACTTCGAGTGAAATTCAGAAGTCAGTTATTCTTTCGGCTGTGTTAACCAGCATGTGTTCCTAGCCAGGTCTGAGGAGTATAATCAATGGCAATGTTTGAGAGATGATCGAGCTTCCAGCATTTCGGAGGGACATTCAACTGTCGAATTCATGGCTGAGGCATTCAGTTCTGACTTTGTCAAAAAAAAAAAAAGTACCAGATGTGTCCCTGTAGTTCAGGAGGGAGTGAGCAGTATTCAGCAATTTTTTAGCTGTTTGTCCATTAGTTTTCCTTCACAGGGAAAAGGACTTTTCAGGCAGCATTCAAAAATTGAAATTGAATTTTACTTATGTCTTTTCTGTTTTATTTGTTAGTGTTTTGATGCTGTAAAATTAACTCCTCTCATTTTAACGCCGTGCGTCCATAAATCTATGATTTTCTGGGCCGTCACCTAGATGTCGCCTGAATCGTATTCGGTTTTTTAGGCCACTGATACCCGGCATTCCAGTAAATATGGACGGGCGAAAAAGTGAGAACAAGAAAAGCGTTTCGGTTTTCGCACATTGTATGTGAAATTAAATCATGATGGTTTTCTGTAGGGATCAATTTTTTGTGACGCATTTTTCGTTTGAATATTTTGGTATTCAACATCTTTCGTTGAAAAAAGCAGTCTTTTGCGTTTTTCGTGCGATATTTTTAATGTATTGTAACATTTTTTCATCAGGAAAGTTGTATTCGATTTATTATGCGTTACACGTAAGTCCTGATATGTTTGGGATTTTAAAATTGGCAGTGTTTCGTTTTGTCAATGTTGTAAGCCAAAGGTCGAAGTTGTTTCAATGTTACCGAATATTGTTGAGCTACTTGTGAACTCCGGAGAGAAATATAGCGACGTGGAGTCACTCAGACAATGAGATTTCGGAGATTCCGAATAGTTCTGACTTGTAATATTTTTTCTTTTTGTAATCTTTGTTATTGATGTTAATTCGTTGTTTTCTGTCTTCTCAGGTTAATGCAGTGAATGTGTGTCGAAAGTGGGGTAGGGGAACTGCTGAAAAGTAGAGTAAAGGTTTTTATTTATTTTCGAAGGAAAATTATCGCGTTACTCGCTGATTTAGCGTATGAAAATTGCGAGTGTGACTTGAAGTTTGTTTTGGACGCGAAACGTGATTGATAAAGTGGGGGTGTGTGTGTGTGTGCGTGATATGCTCTGAATGGCGTCCATGGCGCGGCCGATCGGAACGGCGACAGTGCGCGCACTTAAAGGCCGGAAACTGATTCCCACGAGGGCGGCACTCGTGCTCACCAAAGCCGCCGTCGACAGAGTCAAGGAGCTGACGCGGGAAGAACCCGGCGTCCTTGGACTCCGCATCGGCGTCAAGCAGCGCGGCTGCAACGGACTCTCGTACACGCTTGAATTTGCCAAGGAGAAGGCCAAGTTGGACGAAGTCGTGCAACAGGTTCTAATTCTCTTCCTTCTTTTTTTTTTTTTTTTGGTGACAATTTTCACGCTTGGATTTGGATTTATAAAGTTTAACCTCTCTATGGCGAATTTTTTTTCAAGTCCCTGTCTGAATTCCTTTAGAACCAATGCATTAGAAACCTCCCCAACTCGAAGGCTTTTTTTTTCTCGGACTTCCATGTCTCGATTTTGTGGAGGTTATTTTCAGGTTCCGATTTGTTTTTATTTTTACAGTTATCATACTTGAACTGGGATACGAGGGTTGTCCCACTTCCACTCGGCCTTGGGTATTTCTAGAGTAGGCACTACTGTAAGAAAAAATTATATTATGTAGTCCATGCAATTCTAAGGTATTGGTATTAAATTACATTAAAATAAATAAGGTTTTTTTTTCTCAGATTTTCATGAAAAAAATTTAGATTAACTGCATGATGATAAGTGAATTCACTTATCACGCATGTGAGTCGACGTATATGTCGGGACATCCGTATCGTGGGGATCCCACAACACTTCAAATAATTTTTTCTCGTTTTTATTTTTTGCAGGACGGAGTGACGGTCTTGATTGACAAGAAGGCGCAGCTGAGCCTGCTGGGCACGGAGATGGACTACGTGTCCACCACTTTGTCCTCGGAATTCGTGTTCAACAACCCGAACATCCAGGGCACTTGTGGCTGCGGCGAGAGCTTCAACCTCTAGCCAGTCGGGCGTTTATTGCAAAAAAATAACACCCACATATACACGGAGGAAAAATAAATAGGAGAGAAAGAAAAAATGAATGCCCGGTCCCAGTCGTTCCACTACGCCGTCGAGATGGGCCAGGCCGAAGAAGTCTGCCTGGCCATGTTCCACACGCTGTTGTTGCACAGGACGCAGGGCAAGATCCACTTTCGCCAGGGTTCCACGCGGAGTATTGGCGCCCTGGGGTTTCAAGACGTGGACTGTGACCTCATCGACTTCACCTACGTTAGGTCAGCACATGCGTTTTACTCTACTGTACTGTAATTGGAACTTTATGAGCGATTGTACAAGAATGCCGAGATTTAGAAAGTGTATTTTTTTGTAGCTGTAAATTATTGGTTTTTTTCTTTAAAGGGGGTGCTCGTCATAAGCGGGTATGCAATTTTTGAAACAATTTTAAATGCTTGATTTAATGATTTTCATAGAATTTTTTTTAATTTCACCGAAGAAGTAGTGTATTTCCAATGGTTTTAATCGAATCAATGGAAAATTGATCAATTTACGTTCAATTCAAGTCAAAAATTTTGATTTTGCTGCATTCTATTTCAAAATTTTCCCCTTTTTTCATCACTAAAGATGGGGTGTGTTTCATAATGTGGGATTGGTTTTCATCCAAATGTTAGGGCCAGAAAACCATGTCCCCGTGGTACTTAAGTGAATACGGCATGGAAAAAAAAAACACAGAACCTTAAAGCAAGATCATATTTTTTAAGATTTTTGGAAAACAAATACTGGAGACATTTTATCCCATTTCTGATTTTTTTTTTTTCAGGTGTGCGAGTCCGATGCTGTGTGACAGAGTCAGTGGATCCGTTCGGTGCTTCGTGGACGACATGCAGAGGTCTGGAGCCAAGTGTGGCCAGATTTCGCTCGAGTTTTACAAGAAGAATAAGAGTAGTTTCTGGAACCCGGACTCGATTCCGTGGGAGGTGTGGACCGTACGTCTCACCGTTTCTAGTTTCACGACGGAAAACGACCGTCAGGTACTTGAAAATTTATTTTGAAGTGTTTAGCTTATTTCTTCATTTATTTGTAATTCAACGTCTGACGTCCTAGCTTGCCATTCTGGAATATTTCGCAACTGCTCATTCGTGCGAAAAAATAGATCTTCTAATCTTTCAAAAAGGCTCAAATTTGTTTTATGTGCTGTAACACTGTGACCAGATGAAAATCGAATCGAAATGTTTAGAATCGTGCAATATTATAATCATTGGAAAATCACTTTCCATGCAATAGTTTGTAAGATAGGGTTGAGGACCAACGAAAGCATCAGAACTACTTTCTCGTTTCGTGTCGGAAGAAAATCTCGGAGTCAGTCGTTGAAATTGCCGCATTATTTTTTTTCTGATTCTAATTGATGCGCATTTTCTGTTTCTTGTCGCTAATATGTTTTTTGTTTTGCTTCTTAGTTGTGTAGAGAGGAGTTGAGCGAGTTGCTGGCGGACGGGGTGTTGAACGTGGCGGAAAGCATAAGCCGGAGTGATTTGTACGTGCCGACCTATTCTACCGCCGATGACCTGGAATTATTTTTCGAAACCGGGTTCCCGGACGTTCAGCCCTTCCTGTTCCGCATCATGCACCGGACGGACGAGACGGGAAAGCCCTCCATGTCGTCGGCCGTGAGAAAGATTTTCCGTGATACGCTCTCGCTCTGACCCGAGGTCAAGAAGAAGCATTTTGGAGAAACAATTTTCGAAGTGTGTCTTTTGTCTCTCTTTACCCGGTCTTGGCGTTACCGTGCATCGAATTCACCCCTTCTACTATGCCAACCAACCCCCGCCCCCGTCCCTCCCAACCCCCAAGAAATGCCCTGGTCCGGAAATGCCAGTGCGAAAGTTCCGGCGATTTTTTCAAGGTGAAAGGGAAATGTGACCGCATCGTATCTCTTGATAAGGAAGAGTTTTTTCATAAAGTCCAGCGTGTCACCTAAGGAATAATTTTTTACCATTGGTAGATGAAATCTGGGGGAGTTCATGTCCAGGGACTGGTTGCTGATAAATGGAAAAATCGAATCCTAGTGAAAAGGAACCAAGATGAATTGGAGTCGGAGAAACTCTAATGTTTTGAGCATCAGGAATGTTTTGAAAATCCTCTTCCAGGGTATTGGAATCTTCAAAATTGGATCTATATTCTTCCCAAGACTTCACTGTCAAAACAGGTTCTTAGTCATTTTATTCAACATTCACGAATTTTTTTCATGAAAAGGTTTCCATTTCGTGCATAATCTCCAAGGGAAAGTGTTGAAGCCTCAACTTCCTCGCAAAACCACTTAGTAAATTTAAAAAAAATGAGGAAAATCTTCCCTACACTGTAAGCAATGTTTTCATATCTTTGTAGGTGTTTGTGACCATGGAAGAATTCATGTAAAACGAATGTTTACTTTGAATCCTCTCAAGCACATGTTGATCTGGCAGAATGGGATTCATTTTTCAATACTTGGTGGGCTAGTGTCTGGTCATGGATAACTGGAATTCATATGCGTTTGATAATTGTTCTATGGGTGACATGCTGGATTTTGATAAAATTCCTGTGACACTTCCTCTGTAGCGTTAGTGTCCGTCCACTGTACCTACCCGCATCCCCTTAGGCGTCGTGCCTTGTTCGGATGGATCCGAAACTGACGCGGAATTACTCCGTTTCCCGCGCAACATCGAAAAAAACAAACACCGACGCTGCTGCTGCTGCTGGAGTTCAGTGTTTAGACAAGGATGTGTATTTTGATAAGACTCGAGCTATTCCCTAGTTACTATTCTTGCCGGATCGCGGGTGCCGTACGTGTGATCCTTGTGCAATAAAGCAAAGCTCCTCCATAGTCCCGTTGTACGTTTTTCGGCGATTTTTTAAAACCACGGTTTTTTTTATTTGTTCAGTGTGTGAGTGGATCAAGAAGAGCCGGAACTTGCGAAATTATTGTGCTTTTTTGTATTCTCTTGGTACTGTCTTTTTAATATGTGAATGAGAGCTGCTTTTGAGGTCTGGTGAACAACGGATAGAAGCAATTGATGCAAACCTAATGCAGTAGTACGATAGTGTGATGGATCATTTCAAGTTTTAACGTTGATCATGTTCAAAAATCAAAGTATTCTTTGCTTTAGGTGTTCTCGCTTGTTTTGTTGAGTACAGTATTGATCAGTGACGAATGATCATGAAGAACCTGGTGACATTACGTACCGACATTAACAAGAATCAACTCATTTCTCTTCATTTCCTCAGTTTTTCTTGCCGTGCTCAATTATTGAAGGTTTACTTTTCCTGAAAGAAATCACGTAAGAGACGGTGATGACTTGCAATATCAAGCTTTGATTGTCAGATGGGCCATGCCCTTGAGCAGCTCTATTTTCACAACCCAATGGTGTATTCAAATTATGGTCTGTGATCAATGATTAAATTGATTTGTGTTTATAGATGTTTGTCAGCCCAAGGTTGAAACTGCGACATCAACCCGGAAAAGGCGATCCATTTGCGGAACTCAGAATCACGGACGATTCTTTTCTGGGCGAAATTTCGTCCAGGTCTGAGTGCGACGAGTGTCTTAAATCCCGGCGTTACTTCTGTTATTCCTGTCGCACCGCATTACCATGCATTCGCGGAAGAGTCCCAAAAGTTAATTTACCTCTTGATGTTCATATTGTGAAGCATCCCGGCGAAATTGATGGTAAATCCACTGCTATTCATGCTGCTGTGATCGCTCCGGAAAACGTTAGGATTTTCACTTACCCGGATTTCCCGGATTATGAGGATGACGGCAGTGTTGTGGTTGTGTTTCCGAGGAAACCCGGAGATGTGAGTACAGTATTTTGCAGAGCTTTTTGTGTGTCGCATGATGAATTTGAAGAAGTTTTGAAGTGGTTTTTTTTGAGAAGTGGGATATTTATCTCAAGTCACTTGAACAGGTTTCTCAATCTCTTTGGCTCACTAAACCCTTTGAAAAAATACTTACATGGTTTCTGTACCTTGATTTTCGGAATTTTCGAGCGTTCTGGTGTTGTTTTTTTTTTTATTCTGAAATTTTTTCGGAAGACCTCACCGAAATATTCCTGCCTTCTTTGTTTCAAAGACTTCACATTTTTTGGTTTTTGTTGTTGTAGTTTTGCTGTTTGGGTTTGTTTATCGAAATTGGGCAAATTATTTAAAATGTTGATGCATTTTATTCAAGAACCTTCTGTTTTATTTTCTTTTGAAGGCTGCAAGAAGTGCTGGTGATTTGAATTCGGTGAAAACTGCAATATTCATCGATTCAACGTGGAAGCAAACCAAAAGACTCATAAACGACCCGAAGTTGGTGAAATTGCCGCGATTTGGTCTAGAAGAGGAGCAGACTTTATTTTGGCGTTACCAAACCGGTATTCCAACGACTTACCTGGCCACTATCGAAGCTATTTATTATTTTTTTCGGCAAAATGCTTCACAGGGGTCAGATACGGACATTTACGACGGGAGATTTGATAACTTGTTATTCTTCTATAGATTCATGTATAATAAGTTGCATAATTTTTATGGGACGGAGAATTTGAAAGCCTACAAGCCGCGAGATGGGCGTGATCTGAGGTTTCACGAATGAAATGCTTTGTTTTGGGATTTGAGACTTTCGTTTTTTTCTAAAGCTGATGAAAGCTTGGCAAAGTATTCTTTGTGCCCCGGAACACGTTTAACACTCAAATCAAAGTTCACGTCAAACTGTCAAGCTTTCATCTGTTGAATACAAATTTTTCCGTGTGTTAAAATTTTGACTCGTGATTTTCTTGTTTTTATTGATTCACTAGATAATGGAGGAAGAAAGTGTACCCGTGGGGGATTTGCTGTGTTTGGATCCTCCTGAAAATGACGATATCGTGGAAACGCACGAAAATCCTGGTGAAATTAATGCTGATGTCAACGGGATTTCACAGGTGAGCAAAAAAAAATTCATGTGAAAATTAATGTTAAACTGAGCTTGAAGAAAATTTGTCAGTCAACATTTTTTTCATTGATCGATTTTTTCGAGAAATGTATTGTGTTATTCCAGAAGTTTGAAATTAATTTTTTCAGAGCGTGGGATTATTTTTTTGGAGGGGATGTGATAATTCATGCGTTTCTCAAGTTTTTTTCTAGAGATGCATTCATGTGAGGAGCTCAAAAATTGCTATTCCATGAAATTATCAAGCGTTGAAAGACAAAGTAGTGAAATTTTTACTCGATTTCCAGGCGGAAAATGAGGAACCTTCAGGGTCTTTAAATCCATCATGTGACCAGACGTTGAAACCTTCAAGAAGTCGCAGTTTGGGAGATCAACACTGCCGCGAAGCCCTGAGTGTGGAAAACGAGCTTTTGCGAACTGAAATCGACGGTTGGCGTCTCAAATTCGCCGATTTGGAAAGCAAAACGCAGGCTCAGTTTTCCTTGCTTGAAAACGACTTGATGGCCCGCATAGCTGGTCTCGAAACGGAGAAGAGAAAGAACTTGGAAAGTAGTCATGCGTTGCAGAAGCAGTTTGCAGCAAGAAGGAAGATTTTGCAGTCGAAAATACGAAATAACATCTCGGTTTTGCGCGGGAAGCTGGACGGTGTTGCCGAACGGATCGGGAAGATTCCTGTGGAATCTGCAGAGACAAAAAATTTGTTGGATGCCGTTGCTAAAAAATTTGCCGCCGAGTTTGAGTCTTTCCAGACAGAGGTCGCTGCTAGGGAAGCTGAACTTGAGGTGAGACACACTTGATCCTCTTCAGAAACGTAATTTTTTCTGTGTTTCATATGTGGAAAAGGAGCTGCCAAAATCTCGTCACAACGAACAGACGGGATGCATAAAAGTTTTTTAATGACGAGATTCATGGTATGTAGGACTGCAATTCTGTGGGAATAGATGCTTTCCAGTACTTCCACGACAGATTTGTGAAGAATCTCCTGCATTTCCAAATTATTTTGATGATATGATAAAGAGGAAATTGAAAATTTGAAGTAAAATTCTCTTATATTAAACCTACCCTTTTTATATTTTCGAAGAATATATTGATTTTAATGAAGTACAGTATATGCTGAAACAAAGAGAAAATACATGTGCAATAAGTGCGTGTATTAATTAAGAACCACGTATTCCCCGAATTAGAGCAGTATCCTTTCAAACCTTCGGCACTTCTCTTTTTAAAATTTAGCCTTTTCTAAATTTTTAGATGAAGCTGAATAAATTTAGCTTGGAGCTTTATACTTCGTGTAATACTAAATTTTCTGTGAGAAAATATTTGGATGCATATTTTTTAAAGTTTATGCACACGTTGGGTTTCCCCATACTGTGCCAAATTAGTAAAAATGTCTCTCGCCTGTTCAAACATGATCAAGACAAAACTGCGCAATACTGTACTGAGATTATAGAAGAAAATTACTTTCTTATAACGAAATTTTTATAACATTGAAAAAAAAAATTAGTTATATTGAGATTCGTTTTGACGAAATTTTACTGTACTGTATTTTTTTCTTGGTATACATTTTTTTCTCTCTTTGAAAGGCGAAAAATTCTGCTCTGCTGTCGGAAATGAGCGGCATGAACACAGTCATCAAACAACGCGGAGAGCGCCTAACTCAATTGGAGGCCAAAGAAGAAGAGCTGCAAGCTGAGATTTCGAGGTTGCGAGCGGATCGATCGACACGAGTCGACTGTAGCGTGTCGGTGCAAACGACGGAGACTCGTCATGGGATGACGGAACCGGAAGAGAGAACGGAAACCGGAAGCACGGCCACGTCAGAGATCTCCGAGAAGGACCAGGCTGCGAGAATGCGAGAAGTTGACGCCTCGTTGGAAGAGTACACGCAAAAACTGAAGCTGATGGCGATTCGGCAGAAGAAGAAAATTGTTGAATTGGAGGCCGAGAGGCGGACTCTGGTGGCTGAGGCGGAAAAGACTAAGAGTACTCAGGCCATGGTGAGTTAATTTATCCAATGAAAGGAAGCTTCAAAAATTGTGTTGACCAATTCAAAAAAAAAAATGTATTTCGTTTGTGGTTTGGTGGCAGGTAATGTAATTTAACGAAACAGCTCACTGCGAGACTTGGAAATACCTGCGCATTTCAGCGAATTTTGTACATTAAATTCTGAAACTCTCGCGCAATTTTATACTCATTTGTAAAAGTTTCTTCAAGTGCCAAAAAATTGCTTGTTGCCAGTTGTTTTCCTCTCTGGTAACGTGTTGAATCTTTTTTTTTTTAATTCAGACATTTATGTTTGTGACGTCGCCGAAATGCAAGTATTGAAAGGTTCAATTCTAATGATTCCCTTGTTTTTGCTCTTTTTCACGCAAGGCTGTGATTTTCACTTTTGGAAATTGTGAATACGATTTAGCGTTTGCTTGAGTTTTAGCCTAGAAAAATATTTTTCTCTTCAGAAATTCCAAGCGGAAATGGACAAGCTACAAGATGCATTGGATTCGAAAACAGACGAACTGAAATCCATTCGAAAGGATTTTGAAAACGCTGCTAATAGGATTTCAACAGATTCCAAGGCTTTAGCAGAAGCTTTGGAGTTGAAGGACAAACTATCTGCGGAATTGAACGTGAGTTCGCTTTTTATTTTTATTAAAATAAGTTTCGCAAACATTCTACGAATCACTTGAACAATTTAAGCATGCACAAATGTTCATATTCCTGTTTCATCATCAGTGTTTTTACTGAATAATTATTCCATCACAGTAAAAGCAAACGACAACTCAACTCATTTGAAAATTATTTGCTCATGTTGTGTTGATCAATTATGAGCATCAAGGGTAATTGTCCACGAAAAGGAAGCCTTATTTTTTTGCGCTAGCTTCCGATTTGGCGTAAAATTTTATTTGTTCGACAAATATCTTATGGAAGATTGTTTTGACATTCCAAACAGTCCCTGGTGAAGATCGAGGGCCAGTTGACCAAAGAAAAGAAGGAGTTGGAGGCGAAGTTGCTTGTTGCTGATCAAACAGCTTCGGAAAGGGGAAAAGCTTTGGATTTGAAAACGTCTGAGCTGGACTCTGCATTGAGAAAACTGAGTGACTCAGAAATCAAAGCTTTCAAACTCGAGGAAACCGTCAAGGCGATCGAGAAAGACGGCGACCAAGCGAAAATCATGAGATCTCGTGAGTCCGTCTCACCTGCATTCCTATTATTTTCGTTTCTCCAAAATTCTTCCCACTGAGCAATAAAAGTCTTGAAATGCCCGAAGAAAATTCTGGAAATTGGTTCAGCAAATGAGAGGTACTGTAATTAAAAAATGAGTGCCGAAGTTCCGTAAAAACTTTCAGTCGAACTACAATGATGTGCTTGGAATGAAAATCTGTCTTCCAAATTTCGTATTTTTTTTTTCTCAGAATATCTCTGTTCCAAATTACAAAAGAGATGACTATTTTTGTCTGAATGAAAAAACCATTCTATGTGCGATATATTATACGGTGCGCTCGAAGATTAAAAAAAAACATATTTGTGTTTTTGTTCGGAAAGATGCAGAAAATGTTTGGAGAACATTCTTTACGTGTGTTTTTCACCTGACAAGAGTAATTTCTCGCCCGAAAATTTTAAAAATTTGATCAGTTGCAAACCAACTCAATTTGGAAAGCGTTATCAAGTTCGTTGTAACGAGATTCTATTGTACAGTGTAGGGTTATATAATTTCCAGAAGTGGAAGACCTGGAGAAAACCGTGTCGGACCTGACTAGAAAGTTGGACGAGAGTAAAGATGCAGCTGTGGTGATGGAGTCTGCTTTGAAGAAGGCCGGCATGGAACTCAAAACTGCTACTTCGAATTTAACCAAGGAAAAGGAGAAATGTAACAATTTCCAGGATACAGTTGCGAAATTAAAAGCCGAACTGCGGGAAAGTTTGAGACTTGAGGGTGAATTGAGGAATTCCAAATCTCAGCTGACTGCAGAGGTGAGAAACACTGTAATTTTTAAGTTATATTTCCCGCCAAACGTTTCTTGTCAATCGTTTTGTTGATGATCATGTGAGAGATTTTGAACTTTACCAGCGCTGTAGACGGTTTATTATTTCAAAATTCTGGTTAACAGCAAAAAGGGACAGAAAACAATAATGCATAAAAACAAAAATTCCTGACCCCGAAAATATATTCACTGAACTACTTCAAATTTTTTTATGGTGCTTTTATTAAGTTACTATGAGAGGTTTGAGGAATTATTTCTCTTAATATCTCATCACCAGTTTTTATAGTTTTCAAGTTATTTGCACAGTGGTACCTCATAGTACAAACACCTTGCCCTAAAAAATTATGCAGAACAAGATTTTGGGGTCCCATTTTCTACCCTTGTACTCTACGAACAAAATCTCTATAAAGAATGAATTAGTTTCTTATGCAAATGAGTAATTGTGTTCTTTCTATACAACCATGTTTTTTATAAAGAGCAAGTCATGCAACACAATCATAGTGCTGAAACAAATTATGCCTGGTGTACAAGGTACCACTGTATTGAGAAATTCAATGGATCTTAAAATGGGCCACTATCCATCATCTGCCATCGATACCTGTTCATCTTTGCCAGTTGAAGAAATACTGGTAGATGAAATATATTTCGATGTCAAAATCTCTCTTCTTCATTTTTAGCTCGAAGAGTTGATGCGAATGAACGAGTCCCTCAAGAGGGAAATGAACTCTGTGCACTTGGATGCCGAGGAAGTGAAGGAAATGGCTCGTCAGCGCGAATCCGAACTGGAAAGCGAACTCGCTGTCCTCAAGGACTCGTCTGAGACCTGGAAACTAGAGCTGGAAACCGCCCGAAAATCCCTTCACACCCTCACCACGGAATACGAGTCCTACAAAACCCGCGCCAAATCCGTCCTCCGCCAACACAAGCAACTTAAGGAAGATCTCCAACGTCGGGACGCCGCAGAAGAATCTTCACAGGCTCAAGAACGCGAGCGAATACAGACGGAGTTTCTGGAAAAGATGGAGTCTTTGTCCAGGGAGAAGCGATTGTCAGAGGCCGTGTTGAACCAGTTGAGTGTGGAAAAGGCGGATCTAGCTTTACTTCTAACTACGAAAGACGCCGAGTTGATGGCCTTGTCGGAGACGAAGGCGGATCTCCAGTCTCGGCTCTGCATCGCAGAAGACGCAGTGCGCAGCTTGGACGCGTCGCTGCAAGAAGAGCGCTTGAGCAAGAAGCTCATGCTGGACGCCATGACAGTGCCGCCGACCGAGAGCCAGAGTCCAGTCACAGAGCAGATGCTGCAGCAGCAACAGCCGCCGCCTTTAGTAATCGACATGTCGACTGTGGAACGGGAAGAAGGCGAAGGATCTGAAAGTGTGACGACGCCGTTCACGGATCCCAATACTCCCATTTACAAATTCATCCACGGCGGCGTTTCCTCGCTTTCCGCGACGAGTCCCACAAAGTTGATGCCTTTGGACCAGCTGCTGAATTCCAATGAGGCGGAGTATGACAAGTTTTCCGGGAGGAGGAGAAGAGAGTCGAATCCGACTGGTGACACGATGAAACGGTTTGAGGAGCAGGAGGAGTTGGTGAGGGAATTGAAGGTGTCGAATGCGGAGTTGCGGAAGAAGGCGAATCATTTGACGTCGCTGTTGAACGACTCTGAGGAGACGAATGCCAAGTTGGCTGAGATGACTGAGGTGTTGAAGGAGGAGATTCGGAAGGAGCAGAGGAACCACGAGCGGCAGAAGCATCTGGAGCAGACTGAGTACATCAAGAATGTTTTCTTCAAGGTGAAGCAAAAAACAGAGATTTATATATATAATCAATAATTATTGGTGCTGGAATCAAGCATGTTTTTTTGATGAAGTCTTGGAAATTCTTCGCGGCTTAAGACTGCGTGAAGGCGATCATTGAATTATACTTTACTTCTAAAGGAGGTGCCACGAAACTATAACTACTGTAGACTCACTGTGGATAAAGCTGTTGTGGAAGAACGGGAACCTGTCAGCCATGAAAAATTTGACAAGAGCTTGCACAATTTTTCTACAGTTCTATACATTACAAAAACTGGGCCAACACTATACTGTATTTACCTTGAAGAATGGTCTTGAATATGATGTGCATCTGGATTTTTCTGCCTGAAATTAGGATAAAAGCGTATCCATTTGTAAGATGCACACCCCATTTATGTAAAATTAAAAATTTTAGTTGGATCAAACTACATTGCTTCCATTTTTAAATTTTAAAATGTGTCCAAACTTCGTTACTTGAAACATGTATGACACATTTACAAGCTTCAAAAATTGTGAAAATAAAAAGTAATGTGCTTATTTTATTTTTTCACATTAGTCTTTCAATTGAAACAACTTCAGACCATGTTTAACATGATCTGTTCATAATGGGTCGGAAATCTTTGGAATATGCAGGGAATTTCATTCACTGTTCATACTAATGAATGTGTAACTTCCAGTATTATTCAGTCAACTCATTTTGTGTAATTAATGGAATATATATTCTTTTCAGTTTCTTACACTGAAAGCTGGGAATGAAAGAGAGAGATTGATCCCTGTTCTGACAACGCTTCTGAAGTTGAGCCCTGCTGAGAAGAACTGCCTTGTGTCTGTGGCCAAAGGTTAGTTACAGTTTCTTGTTTTTTATGCAAAACTTGTTTCCATGAACAAACCTTTTTTTGTGTTCGTATGAGGCATTGACTTTAGGAATACATGTTTTACATGATCCCCTACTTCCGCCAATACATTTCGCATTCTTTTCAGAAAATCGTTGTGATTGAAACGCCAATTTAATATGCCTCATTTCCTGTTTATATATTTTTTCAAATACTGTACATGAATTGAACTCGAAAAATAATCGTAATTTTTGCTGAACCCACCGTATTATTCATTTGCATGAACACATTTTATTGACCAAAGAGAAGGCTTTTATCAAAGCAATGATTAGTGGATGTTTAATTCAGTTCCGACAATTTATTTACCATTCATTGATATCATCATATAATAATGTATCATTTCTTTTTCGAATACAGTATTTCTCACTACATTCTACTCTTTTTTTTTTAAACCAGGAATTGATCTGGAGGCAGTTCAGCAGGCAGGTTGGGGTTCATATTTAGGTTTGTGGAAGCAGTGAAGGAGTGATGGGATTGCGTAACTTATTTTGCACTCGGCTGTGTACCTGTTTGTTTCAAGCTATCGCTTCTTTTCTTTGATCACATGTTGACGTCTTATTTTTTTTGTGGGTGATATGACGGTTGTTCGATCAGCAATGAATTTGACCAATGGAAAAATGAAATAGTTTATTCATTGTCCCGCACAAACAATTAACAAGCCTTTTCACTTTCCACATTGTCAGATGTTTTCCCGTTCAGTATTTCCTCTGGATTCGGGGTCTTGCTGAAACACCACGTTATTAGGAAACCTGTCGACAAAAAATAATCCATTGAAAATACACGGTTAATACAATTATAATTGTTAACTCATTTTTTTTTATCATACTTGAATCTTTTCAGCAAATCACTACTGTTCAATCAATTTAAAAATCATTCCAAATGAATGTTGTACAGTTCATTCAACCCCTGATAGTTCATGTCCTGAAGAGTCATCAGCTCGTTTTTATCAACGAGGTACAAAAAAAAAGTCTCTCGATTTTGAAGCATCAATGCCTAAGGCAAAATTTGATCACATTTCCCTCAAGCATAAATGAGCACGTGTACACAGCACAGAACGTCTTCTGCTTCGGGGCGGCATAATGGAGTTGGTAGGTGAAGTGACATCTAACTTGCTCCGAACCAATGACAACATATTTGAATGAGGACAGGTGTCACATGCACGAACGTGGAAATTATACTCACTGATCACAGCGAACCCAGCAGTTAGAAGCAAAAGTTTCGTTGTTCCAATGATGTCAGTGAGCAACTGAGCAGTGAGTGATTGCAGCGGTGGTCCCAAAATCTTTCAGAATGAATTTCACAATTAATTCCTGATACAATCAAGTTGGAATCTACCAGCAAAAAAAAAAACCATGAATTAACTCACTGCACTTGTGAACACCAGTCCATAATTGGGTCCCGTAAACTTCTGCCCGAAGGTCTGACAAGTTGCCAGAGGCAACAAAGCAAATGTTCCAGACATGGACGAAAAAATGCCGATGACCCATAGAACGTACGTGATTTTGCCTCCGTACTCGGCCAATGGAAGTGTCGCGAAGAAAATGGCGAGCAACGCTGTCACGAGCAACATTGTGGTCTGCAAAGCAAATGCACTTGAAAATATGCGGATTTCTTCAATTTTTCACACCATTGCCATCGAACAAATCCGTGAGACTTTGACAAACTATTTGATGAAGCAAAAGCCCAAATGACAAAGGCAATACTAAATGAGAACCTAAAAAAATCTTTTGTAAAAATATTCTACTGTATCATTACATTATTGCAGAGACAGTCAATCACATTTTCACTCCTCATTCTTCTTGTGTGAAACCAGTTAAAAAAAAATAATAAATTACCCAACACTTCGATACATACGCATTTTTAGTCCAATTGGAGCAAAAACTGTCTTACTTATGGAGGTTTCTGGAACAATAAATCCCTCCAACTCAAATTTGGCTCCAGTATTCATTACTTATTAATTTGTGCAATTTTTGAGCTTTTTCAAAACTTCACCTTCACTTCCCCTGAGAAGCTAAAATAATGATAACAATTCAGAAGGGAATTTTTGGACTTAGTTCTGAATTAATGGAGATCCTATTTATGATTTTCTTCCTCAGCTTTTTCAACATCCAACCACATTTTCAAAGTTTGCAAAATTAGCTTAAAAACCAACACCTTGACAAAAACAAACCCTGAAAATTTGAGCTGTTTCATTATCATTCAGATATGTGAAGGGCTAACTTTTGTTCTACACTCTTTTCAAATAATAGAACAGAAAAGTTACCACCATGAAATCCAACCGTTAGTGTCTAATTTTCCAACTGTTCAAAGCTTGGGAAAATGGTATTCAAATAAAATTAATCAAAGGCTACAGATATTTTTTTCATCATTTTAAGCAAATTTCAAAAAAATGTAAGTGCTCCAGAAATGCTTAAACAAATAAATCCTTTTCATGGGACTCATTTTATAGTAATACTGTACTCAAAATAAATTTTTAAAAATACTACAGAACCCTCTTTAAGCAACAAGTTTTTGATATCAAATGAAAAAAGAAACTGACCTTGTAACAAGTCTTGTCCGCGGTCCAACCCCAGAACATCCGTCCAACAGAATTGAAAACGGACCCAATTGATCCAATAATCGATAAAAACCAGTCATCATCAATGAAACCTTGTCCAAATGTCTTGTACGACGTTGTAATATACCCAATTGCTTGTTGATTGAAGAAGAATGTGAACCAGAGCATGTAAAATTCCTTTGTCTTCAAAATATCCCTGGGTCCGATGTTCACTCCTTCATTCAGAGATATTTCATTGAATAATACTCCTCAAAACTTCATCCTTATTGAATCAATTCCACAAAATTTGAAAATAATCTTCGCTAAAAGTGTATTCCAATAAGTTGGCCAATCTTCTCAAGTTAACTTACAAGACTTTCAATTCCGAAATAAAAGCGTGGTTTGATGAAGATTCTTCAAATAAATATTGGGTGATTTCTTTCAATTGTTACAAAAATTAAAATGAAATGGGGGTGCCATCTATGTTCTTGAAAAGGAAGCACAGGTATCAAGTATTCGAGTCACATTAAATTCACAACTTTTACCAGATCAGTTATTCACAGAACAAACTTCAGAAATTCAACACAATTTTAGTTCTTGTGAGGTAGTGGAACATTACACTATAATGAATTTCAAAAAATAATTACAAAATGAATTATAAATGGATTAAACATACTTGGCTTGCTGGGTTCCTCTGGTTTTGGACTCTCGTCAACTGCTTCATTATTTAAACCTTCAAGTTCTTCCATCACTTCCGGTTTTTCCACCTTGAAAAAATAAATGACAAAAATTGAAAGCCAAAACTTTCACTTGCACAAAGAATCCATTACAACCTTCAAGTTTTCCCCTGGGTTTCGAAGCAAGAAACAGCCAATCAATTGTAGGACAGCATAAATCCCACCCAGAAGCTGGAACAGAATTGGCACTTTGTCCAAAATCTCCTCATCTGTAAAGTACCTTGCAAATAAATGTTGAAACGTTTTCAAGTACTCACATTCATCTGAATGACCAAAATCCAAAAGTATATAATTGCATGACACTCAACTGCTGAAAAAATATTTGATTCTGATTTTGATTGCACTAATGAGGAAATACTGATTTTGACATTTTTGATTGAGCAAAACTACAGTATTATGAAAATGAAATAAATCATGGCACGACGTACAAACTAGAAAATCACCAGAAAAAACTTTCATGCAAATTTTACAATTTTATAAAAAAAATATCAGGTTTATTCAGACCTTTTTCAATAGTCTGAATTCTCTGAAAAGATAATAACTGAAACAAATCTTTGGCACATGTTCTAGAAAATTTATATGGATCCCTCAAGCTGCTATATTCAGTCTGATTCATCTTGCATAAGTTATTAATTATCTAAACAAAAAGTACTCTACCTGGTTTCAGAATTCAGGGACTTGTTCCCAGGATTCAAGAAAATAGTTTGTACTTGTGTGAAGACCAATGCACCTAGTCCAAAGCCACCAACAATAATGCCAGTCACCAGTCCTTTTCTTCCAGGAAACCACTGCATGAAATAATTCAAAATAATAATAATAGATACAAGAAATCGTAATTTCAGCAGGACAACTTGCTTTCATTCCACAAGTGATTGGAGCCACATAACCAATTCCTGAGCCTACTCCAAACAGGAATCCATGAGTGAAGACAACTAACCAAGGTGACACTTTGATGCTGAATGCTGTGGTCCAGACTCCAATTCTAGGTGGACATAAACAATCAAACACATCTGTGAAAGCATACAAGAAATCTGAATCACACACCCATCCAGGTTATTCTTTCATTTCTCAGTTAAGCTGAAAGGCAGAAATAAGGCATCCTGAAGATAATGTACTGTATATAAAAATCATCAACGCTGAACATGCGAAAAATGCTTGAGAAAGTAAAGTTCATAAAGTTTGTCTTTCATTCTTGAAAAATTCCTACTCATGAAGAATCCATGCATGAACAGTTGGAACCATGACTAAATATGAAATAAAATGAAAATGTGACTACCATCAGCAGTGACATCTACCCACAAGAAAAAAGACTGACATTGGAAGGGACAAATAAGGAAAATCCATTGCATGGAATAAAAAAAACTACTCTCACTGAACATGCTGTGCTCTTTTCAAAAATATTACGTGTTAATTGTAGAGTTTAAAAAATGCTCTGAAGCTTCCTGACGAACATTATTGAACTGTGAGACTAATATGAAAATATAATTGCAAATTCTACTCACGTTGCTATTGCACAACCAATGAACGCTGTGATCCTTGGGCCACATTTGTACTCTAAATAACCCCCGAGGAATGTGAAAACCCCTCTGGCCATCATGTTGCAAGTGTAAATCCATGTTGCGGCTTCGTAAGTGAATGTTGGATCCACCCGCAATCGTATATAGGACGTTAGGTAAGATGTTATGTTCCCTGTACAGCATACAATCATAACGTTTTCATAGAGTCAGATGCGTTTTTCGCGATTTGAACATGGCTTCGGAAGTGAATTGAAGCAAACGTGTTCCATCTCACGAATCTGAACTGGCTTTTTCTCAGCTACAGTACTTTTATAAAACGTACCGGTTCGTTTCAACCTTTCGCGCAGCCATAAAACACATGAATACTTAAGAAGTTTCAGGAGACAAGTAAAAGAGTGTTCCATCAAGCAATGCGTCTTGATTCACCGGTTTTCGGTTTCCAATTTGTCTCCGAATACATCACCCCGTTGAAGGACCTGTTCTGGACTATATTGACATCCAGCAGTTTCAGAAAACTTTTTCATCAATCTTCCGTAAACCTTTCTCACAAATCCCCCCCCCCCCCTAACATGATTTCGCATTTTTCGATGAGATGCAAATGAGGAAACGGGAATCTTCAAGCCAGTTATTCACTCACCGAGAGTGTAAATGGTTCCGAGAGTCAAATGAACGAGGAATCCGCCGAATATCACAGTCCACGCACGCCAAGTTACACTAGCTCCTGATGCGCCCCCTCGAGCAGACGCCATGATCTTTTCTTTCTTTCCTTCTTCCCAACACTTATATAACTACAGTATAATAACAACTTCGTCTCAAGGCCCGGGCTCGCGGCAGACTGAGCTAACCGTACGATCCCGCGAGAACAAGAATCACCATCACTATATTCACTTCTTGACCGTACGCGCACGTCCATCAACTGGATATATAGTCTCCAACAAGGAATTGTTCATGTTTCGGATATCCCTTTAATCCCTCTAAACAGTGAACTTTCCACGAAAGTAACAATAAGTATATTGCTGAAGAAGTTAACTGGCGCTGCTTACACTTTCCCTATACAGTACATTACCGCTGCCGTGACGCACGGAGAAGGGGAAAATGTTGTACAGTACTGTACACTGAATGTGGCTCACATCATAAACCTGGAGTTTCCCTGCGTGCAGCCAACTGCTCAGTCCCTCCCTCCGCATTAAAGAGGGCTCACTTTTTTTTTATTTATCACAAAGGGAGGAGCTTATGCAGCGCATTACTGGTGACAACGCAAAAACGAGTTGACGCCGTTGACCTGCATTAATTTGCATATTTGGTTGACCAAAATATTGCATATGCAGTAGTGAACTGTTATACAGTACAATGAAACCGTTGTACCGTACTGCATGTATACTGTATAGCTTTTCGAGTACAGTACTTATGCATGCTGTTCATTGGAAATGATGTCTAACTATATTGTGGATTTCCAGGTTCATCTTGTTTTGAATACCAGCATATAAATGGAAATTAATTGGAAATATAATACCGATAAAACAAATTTACATATGATTTGTTTTGATTTCAACGCTTCCATGAAATATGCAATGTCGACAGAAGAAAGCTTATCCGTTTCAAACTAGGTGAGCTGCCAGAGATAAATTTCTTCTCATTAATCCTCTTGCTGTATTATAATTGATTCTAAGCTTTAAAAATCATTAAATCAACGACTTTCTTATTGAAAACATATTTCAGTAAAGAATACCTCTTTTTGCTTTCAAGAGGTCATATAGCCCAAATTTAACAATCCAATGTATAAGATGCCCTCGTATGAATCATGGACAAACCTTTTTTGACCAAGCTTGCTTTAAATAATAATAATAATAATGATAACTTGAACTTGGCTTTTAAATAAAAATAACTTGAAATCCGGCAGGTTTTGAGTGAATGATTGCTCAAGGAAAGATCATACTGCGAATGATTTGTCATGTGCTTCTGCTGAATGTACAAAGTTCAAGCTGTATGATTTGCTCAACAGAAATAAATGTCAAAAGGTTTTCAACATTCCAAATGTTAATGGCAATCATGTGAGATGATCAGTGGGAATCTACATTTCTGGGATTTCATATGAGAGAAGAAATTTTTTCAACTATAAATATTAATCTCTTCTTCTTTTGCTGAGAAAACTCATAATGGCTGATTTCAACAATGGTGATGGTGAAAGATTCAATTATGGTGAGTGAAACTTTGTGAAAGTGCTTTGCTGTCCTTCATTAGCATTTATGTTTTCTTTCAGGGGACCCTGGTAGAGGTTCTGGAGAATTGCATTATCATGGTTTTAGGAGACACAGAATTTCTGGAAGAGCGGATCCAACTGATTTTTCCAAACTTGTACCTCATGAAACTATTGTCAAGAGAAGAAACTTCAGTGGATTTGATAATTCTGCTCACAATCAATTCAACAAACAAGTGCTGATTGATCCAGCAGAACAGGTGGAATTCACAGATGACCAATTGAGGATCTTCCATCACCTATTCAGCATGTATTTTCAGAAAATTGATTGTTCTGTGTACTCTGATTCATTGCAATATGCTCCAATTGCATGCACTTCCAGGTCTACCCAATCCAGTTCCTTAAACTTTTTGCAATTCAAAAACACTTTGCATCATTTGGGAGCCACACAACTGGGCAATTTACAAATCAAACAGGTTCTGGACTCTGTGGTACATCATGGATACAGGATGGTCAGTTTTGAAGACTTTATGGAACTCTGGCACAGGGTTTCTCACAAGGATCCCCAACTCCCCTTTCACCAAATCCTTCATCAAGTGCTGGAGCAGCAAAACCTCCTGCCACTGAAAGTTGTACCTGTGCCATTTGCTCAAGCAAAGCACTTCTTTGAAACTAAGGTTTTTTCTTCCCAATTTTGGGTGCAAGTTTTCTTTAAAATAATTTTGTCAAATTTTGGTACAACAGACCAACCAACTGGTCATTGAAGCAAGCCTGGAAAGACAGCAGAAGTTGATGCTGAGGGTGAAGCAGCTGGAAAGGATGAATGAAAAACAAAATTTCCAACCCATGGAGTCCCATTTTGGTATCTTCAGGCATAACTGAAGATTCAGTTAGTGACTGAATTTCTTTTTCTTTAAGGCTTGAATAAAGAAAACTTGATGAAACGTCAGTATGTCACTATGTGTATAACAAGAAGCTGATTATGTTCTGCTGAGAGAAGAAATCTTACACTGAAGATTTTTCATCAGATCAATGCATCTTTTTCAGCAAGCAAGGTATGAGTTGGGAACTAGGAAGAGATATGCTTTATTCCTGAATAAATCAAAGCTTTGGCATGCACATCAAACATTCTTGGAGATTAATTTGGTCTGAATTTGTTGCATTTGTCACAGCTCATGGCTATATGTTGAATGATGCATGATGTGTAAACAAGAAGATTATTCAATTTAAGCATCAGTTCAATGATGGGCTAAATTCTTTGCTGAAATCATATTTGATGGAATTTATGTACTTAAATTTCACTAATCCCTTTTCAACTGCTTGTAGATATAATTTTCATATTTTTATGCAGTGATATTTCATTTGCAGATTTTGGAGGATTTCTATAACCATTGTCAGCAACTAAAATTGCGACTGTTTGACAGAGTGGAAAAAATGAAAAGCATTCCAGTTCCTCATAAGTGCCTTCGAATAACTTTTCAAAAGCCTTCATTGAAATATGTAGAACGCATGCGCGGTACAAATATCAAATGCTATATTCATACATCAAGTGTTCTTCACAAAGAGGGAAGAAAAATTCATCAGAAAAACAGCTGGCGCACGACACTAGACGTATAGTCACCGAGAAAATCGCAGGGAGTGCATAAAACATCAAACTAGATGTCGCTACTTTTCGCCGTCACTTCAACCCGCTTAGTGTCATCTGAACGCATCCCGAATCCCCAGTATTAGATGCGGAGAAACTCGCTAATTTCCGACTTCTGCCTGTGGGTGCCAGCAGCTTTGCACCATCACCGGAATAGTTGTCATCGTAAAAGCTCTTAGTGTCATCTGAACGCATCCCGAATCCCCAGTATTAGATGCGGAGAAACTCGCTAATTTCCGACTTCTGCCTGTGGGTGCCAGCAGCTTTGCACCATCACCGGAATAGTTGTCATCGTAAAAGCATTCTTCTTCTTTTAAATCCTTCACTGGCTTCAGTTTCCGTCTGAAACTTTGCAGAGAACGACTTATTTCGATTCTTCTCTGTCTCTGGCTGACTTGTTCGCTGATCGGCTGCATGTGAGCTGTGTTCGGCAACGGAGTGATGTTCGCCTGACTGACTCTTGGCGACACCCTGTGGCGAAAAGTATCAAAATTCAAGTCGCTTCGGCGTACGCGTGAAATAGGTGTCGCTGCTTACTTCGAATCCCGCGGAGGCTTCTTCGACGTCAACTTGCGGTATATCAAAACGAGGATGCCAAATGGGAAAAATATGACTAGTATAACAATTGCCCAAAGAGGTAAATGGTCAGATTCCTTCTCTTCAGAGTCATCTTCTGGTTCAATTAAGACTGTTCTGCTGTCAGTTCTCTGATGGATGACAGGGGAATGAGACAGATATTTTATAGTGTTAAGAATTCATGAAATTTGAAACCTCAGGCATTAATTGCAAAAGCCCAGCAGCAGGACCCAGCAAAGAATCTTTGCTGTCCTCCAAATGCAAAGCTGAGATATTCTCAGTATTTTTAGCCTTGGCTGAATGCAAGGACTTATTATTATTGTGTGTGTCATGTTGGGATAGGCTGAAGTTGTGCACTATTGAGTCCTGAGAAGTTGAGGTCCCTGAACAAGGCATGTCATTTGTCTTATTGTCTACTTTACAACTAGACCACTCCATAAACTTTGCAGTGGACATCATTTGTAAGGTTGAGTCCTCCTCTGCCAAGCTTTTCTTGAGGGAAAATCTTGACAATGCTGCCCTCATTGTCTTTTCTGTGGTTGTCATGTCATCTGGACTCCTTAGCAAAACAAAAAAGAGGTGATACATTTTAAAAGCTTTTTGCCATTTTGAAAGATATTTTCTTCATTCTAACAAGATGGCACCAGTGTCTGAGGAACTTGAAGCAGCTTCTCCAGAGGACTTTTGGGTGAAGTCTGCAACAGCTGCACAGCTTGAACTACTGCTGGAGCTTTCAGGGGATTCCCAGTAGCTGTTTCCAGATACACATCTTTCCCTCCTGTGCAAATGTCTGTAATCTTGCTGCAAATTTCTCTGCTGCTGCAGACGTCTGGCTAGAAGCAACTGACGACCACATTGTCCAGGATTTTGGGGATAATGGTAACCATGGTTGAATAACTGCTGTGGCTTCATCTTCAACTCACATGAAGTCAAACCTGAAAAATGAAGATGGCAGGACAGGGTTTTCATCAAAATGTTGAGTGAATCTGTTTTATTTTACTACAATTTCTTTTCTCACTCCTTTATTTATCCACCAGAAATCCCAAAAAAGAACATGTGTAAAATTACTGCCTGGAAAATTCAAAAGATCTGATGAGTAATGCATTTAATTTTGGCCTCTATTCAATTTGGCATTTGAAAATGCTACTCAAATGTTTGAATTGATACTAAAAATGGCTCCCAAAATGCTGAAATTAAATTATTTTAGCCAACACTGAAAAATTTTTACTGCAATGTCAAGTGTTACCAAAAGTGAAAAAACAGCTGATTATAATGGTGAGAGGTGAATATTTGAGGTATTATGTCAGGAAAAAATGAATCCCTGATTTGAAATAAACATATACCAAATTATTTCTTTAAGGTAATCTTGACTGTGGCATCTTTATTTCTGAGGATGGAAATTTTCCAAAATCCACATACTTCAAATTGATTCCAAAGATGAAAAAGCCAAGTCTAGCTGTGAATTTTCATGATTTATGTTTATAGACTGGATTCATGGTGACAAACTCACCAACTGTTGCTAACCTCTCAGGTCTATTGAGCAAAGTCCTGGTGGGATGGAAGTCATCATCTCCAGCAGGAAAGTTGCCAAGTACATGAGAGTCCATTCCTGAAGAAGCCCTGTTGCTGCCAAAGTTGAGCAAAGAGTTTCTCAAAAAGGGGTCTTGCTGATTGTCTGGATGTAGGCTTCCATCAAGATTGATTGTCATTGTATCTGCCAAAGCAGCAGCTTCTGTCAACAGCTCACTGACATCCTCTTGATGCCATTCCTCTGAGTCCTCACTTTTTTCTGGTTTCTGGAAATTCAAAGTTTTAAAAGTTAGCTCTTCAGCAATCAAATTTCCAGAATTATAATAAGGGACATTAATTTGACAAATACAGGTGCTACCTTTCAATTTGATCATCCTGCAATTTGATGGTAAACTTTGCAGGGAGGTTGACTTGCAATTTGACCATTGCCCTGCAATTTGACCAGCATTGGCCACATTTTTTAAAAGTTTTCTAGTGATATTTTTGAATATCACGAGTACGTGCCTCAACATCAAGTTTGGCAACGTGGATTAGGGTCAAATTGTGAGGTACCACCTGTACTGCAGTACAGTTGATATGAAATGCAAGGTAATTTCCATAGACATACTAAGTCCTTTTCACACACTAAGTTGATGTCCACATGGAAAGCTGCTCCATCTCCAGCAGAAGTCTCTTTTAAAGAGGTTTTGCTCTTTTTGCAGTACCTGTGGGGAAACATGACAAAAGTTTTCAGAAAATCACAATGTACAGTACTACTCAATCAAACTTGAAGTGTGAGGCATAATAACCTGAAGTTCAGTTCAGAAGAGTTCTTATCCTTTTCAAGCACCAAGACCCTACTGCTGTCATCAGCAGCTCCAGAAGACTGATCATCTTCATCATCATCATCATCATTTGAACATGTTCTTGGGCTGGGCCATCTGGTTTTTTGGTCAAAATCAAGGTCCTCAGAATTACAGCTCCAGCATAAATCATCTCCATCAACTTCAATAACTGTGTCTGGATGCTTGAAGTGGACATGACTCCTTGGTCTGGCACAAGAAAATCTCTCAGTTGATGCCACTGTCCTCAGAGACTTGTTTGGCTGCAACAAATAATTTACCCAACAGTAATTCTTCAAATCAGAAGTTTTCTTTAATTATATTAAATTTAATCAGTTTGAGAGCAAATTGTTCTGCAATGAATCTCCATACATGGTATGAGCAAGGACAAAGTTGAAGACATTAAGCATCAAATTAATGAGTATTGAAAGGTATACCTTCATTGTACTGTCATCTTCACTGCTGTAATCAGAATTTTGTTCTGCAATGAATCTCCATACATGGTATGAGCAAGGACAAAGTTGAAGACATTAAGCATCAAATTAATGAGTATTGAAAGGTATACCTTCATTGTACTGTCATCTTCACTGCTGTAATCAGAATTTGGCCCTGTTTGCCCAGCTTCTTCTCTGTGGTGATCTTCAGTGATTCCTTTGCTGTGAAGAATTTTTGGTGGAACCCTGTTTTCTGGTGATTGAGGCTCCTGTTTCCAATAATTAACACATATCTTTAATATGATGGGTTTTCAAAAGTGTGTCTTTCAGTTTACCAAGAAAGCAGAAGCGCCATTCAAATCTTCTTGGGTGAACTCAGGCCTGTCCACCTATAAATAAACAAAAGTGAGTTATAGAGTGTGAATCAATACATTTTCAAAAAAAATTGAGTTTCACTTGGAAAGTGCGGCTTGGGATCCCAGCTTGAGCAATTTCAGCAGATGAAACAATGGTCACTGCAACTTGGTCAGACACAGGTGATGATTCACTGTAGTCTCTATTAGTGCTTTGTTCTGCAATGAATCTCCATACATGGTATGAGCAAGGACAAAGTTGAAGACATTAAGCATCAAATTAATGAGTATTGAAAGGTATACCTTCATTGTACTGTCATCTTCACTGCTGTAATCAGAATTAGGCCCTGTTTGCCCAGCTTCTTCTCTGTGGTGATCTTCAGTGATTCCTTTGCTGTGAAGAATTTTTGGTGGAACCCTGTTTTCTGATGATTGAGGCTCCTGTTTCCAAAAATTAACACACATCTTTAATATGATGGGTTTTCAAAAGTGTGTCTTTCAGTTTACCAAGAAAGCAGAAGCGCCATTCAAATCTTCTTGGGTGAACTCAGGCCTGTCCACCTATAAGTAAACAAAAGTGAGTTATAGAGTGTGAATCAATACATTTTCAAAAAAAATTGAGTTTCACTTGGAAAGTGCGGCTTGGGATCCCAGCTTGAGCAATTTCAGCAGATGAAACAATGGTCACTGCAACTTGGTCAGACACAGGTGATGATTCACTGTAGTCTCTATTAGTGCTGCCATCTGTTGTGCATTCTGCCAGCTGATTATTGGCCCTGTCAGCCCTTCTCTGCTTCATGATCTGATCAGGGTCCCAGGGTTCACAACACTTGCTCTTATTGACAGGAGATGAATACTGATCCACATCTGTTCTGCTTCTGGCAATGCTCCTCACCATCCTCTTCAATTCTTCTCCATCATCTGGGTCATGTGTGTGCAGCAATTCTGAATCTGTGGCTGAGATTATTCACATTTTCTGCAATAATTTTTCATGCACCAACACTATTGGAAGCATTTGTGAATGAATGAACAGAACACTTTATTTGCCGCTTTTCAGCGTTCACAAGGCACAACCAAGACTCCCTCATCAAAACCCCTTCCCCACCCAACTCAACTCCCCCCAAAGACATTCAATCACTTCAAAGCATGAAACAAAGCACAAACCAATGTTGGTGATGCACAAACTAATGTATTTATGCTGCAGGAGTTACACGACTTAGACACCTTTGAGACTTGGAGGAATTTTTACTAAAGCATTTGTAAAACTAAAAAGTGGAGGTATATATAAGAAGTCATCAGGAACTTTTTTGAAATAGCTATTTACACTACTGTCATGGAATTCAACTCAATGACTGAAATTATTTTATCCCACTATGCTACAGTTTAATGCTCAATGTAATGCTTTCCCTCAATTGTCTAAAACTTAAAAAAATGTTGTTTCTGCAGATGAATAATTTGTAGCATGAACCAAAAAGAAAACCTTTTCATGAAGAGACAGGATTACAATTTTATGTGCATTCAAACTGCATGTATGGAACATCAGTTGACACTTTATAATTTCTGATAAACTTTTCTTGCTGGGATTTCACCATCATTTTTTTACTGAACACCTTCTGTCAAATGGGATGTAACGAGTTTTGCATCTGGATAGAAATTGAACTGCTTTGTGTTCATTATAAGATCTGTTTAAATTTAAAAAATAACAGAAGTTACCTGATGGCAAGTGTGATGTTCTCACTAGTTTAGGAGTTTCTTGGCCTGATGCCAAAGGCTGTTCAGCAGTGGGAGGAAATTTCAGGTCAGGTGACAACTGATTTTCCTGGTCTTCAATATGCAAATGTGACCCAGCCAAAGCCACCAAAGAATGTGTCTGCATCCTATTGGCATGTACTTGATTGAAAACAAAATTGGAAAATGTGCAGTTACATTTTGAAATATATTTTACAAGAAGGGTCTTACAGGCATCAACACTTCCTATAGACAGCTTATTATTGAGACAGCTGACCAATGCTTCATCAGAATTTAGTGTTTCAGGTCTCATCAAGTCATTCTTGCCTCCAGTTTCTCTTCCCTTTTCTCCAGAAGATGCATAACCTTGAAAAACCTGCAGATTTAAAAGTTGAAAATATACAGTGAGACCCAAATACAGTGGTCCCCTGCCTAACAGACCTCCCGTGTAAGGGATTTTCACTGAACAGACCAGCTCTGCAAGCAGTTTTTCCTCCTGCCCAACAGACAAAATACGCCAAACAGACTTCTTTTGGTTCAAAATTAGTGTTGAAAATTGAAATTTTTAATTTTTTATGTAATTGAATTCGTGTAAAGGACTTTTTGTCTAACAGACTCGTCCCTTGCACAAATCAAGTCCGTTAGACGGGGGTTGACTGTATATTGACAAAAATTGAATAAATATTTCATCATAAATTCACTTAAATTCATTATCAAAAGCAAGCTGATTTTGTGCTTTTTCAGAGTTTTTTTCTTTCTATCATCCATGAATATTCTAGCAATAATTATTCTTTTTGGCTTTTTGACTTGATAAAAAAAGATCAGATTCTATGTTGTTTTTTTCTGCACTGTTGTTTTCTACAACTTGAAGTTTAGGGATACAATATTTATTAAATTTTTTTGAGGAAATATTTCCAATTTGTGACGAAAAGGAGAACCAATTAAATGCATTAGCATTGAAGTCTAAAGGAAAATGAGACTCTCACTATAAACATATGCACAGAAAAAAGATTTCAGTCAGTCTCACTTTGGATTCCTCCTCAGATTCCCTCTTCTCCATTCTGCACAGTACAGTAATTCTTTTGGTTGCCTCTTGAAGGGGGTTAAGAGAGTTAATAGGGAGAAAAGGACGGAAACTTTATTATGTTTTCCTTAAATAACCCCCTCTGAGGAAGAAAGTATCATTTAAAACCTTCAATGATTGCTGAATGCTGATTTTCTGAGGCCCAAAAAAAAAAGACTGGTTGCATTTTCTTATTATTACATACATCAATAACTTACAACAAATCACAATAGGCCAAAGCCGGTAACAAATGTCGCTACAAAATGTACAGAAAAATCCTTTTTTTTTCGGCTGGAATTATGCACTTTTAGATCCGGTTTTTCTTGCCAAAAATGGTGTGCAATTTTCCGCGGATCCGGTCAATGAGTCCCCTGAGTCCATAAGTGCAAGTGAAGAGTCTTTCGCAAGAGTCCTTTCTTTCAGCTGCTTCCACTGCATCAATGTATCTGGGTGCAAATCTGTGGAGAAAATTTGAAAGTTGGGTAAAGGAATAGTCCCTCTTTTTGAAGATTCCCTCATTTTCTACCAGCACAAGATTTTCTCCCAAAATTTGAAAATAATTGAAGACAGCAGCCAGTGTTTCAAAAAGTCAAATCACCCAAGGCATTAAGAGCTTTGAAAATTGAGATATCTCCTTGAAAACTGCTTATCAGATTTTTTGAAAAATTGGTAAATGCCTTTGGGTCTAATTTGACCTTGATTTTGCAGCCCTGCAAAGTTGTAACAAATTGGGGAGAAACTGCATCTTCAAAAATTCAAATTTTCCCCAAGACATTCAGTATTTTGAAAATATTCAAATCTTTTTGAAGCCTTCACAACACAGTTCTGAAAATCTAAAGTACCATAAATTTTAAATTCTACTGGATTTTCCAGAGTTGAAGAGTGAAAATACATTTTTTGGATTCCATTGCAGGTATTTATTGTAACTTGATTCACAATGTGTTAAAAACTGATGAAATTACAAAACATGCTTCAACACATATTGAATTTGAAAGAAAAGACTTAAATTAATGCATGTGTTCCTTTAAAGAGAAACTTAGTTTGTAAATAGTTCAGTGAGTTTCACATGTAACTTTCAAATAAATCAGTCAAAATTTTAAATAAGGAAGAACTGGGGGTTTAAATGCTTTGAATTGGTGTAAACATTTTTTTTTACCACCCCATGAAAATTTCCAATGAAAATCCAAAATGTCATCAGTGTAAATTTTTAATTATCAGCTCATTTTGATGAATTCACCATTTGTAGAAGAATAATTATACTGTACTGTATTTAAACTTTTAAAGTATGTCTGTGCCAGGTTTTCTTAAAGATATGTACAACCCAAAAAAAAATGCAAGAACTACCAGGAAATTTTTCAACAGGTTTGATTCATCATTTGGAAATAATTTTAAAAATATTCTGGAAGAGGAAATCACTGCAGGTTTACCTCTTGAAAATTGCCCTGAAGAGTTTGGCAAAAATTGGGAGTTTGGTAGCACGTTCCTGGAATTCACAAATGTTCCTTCTGCGACATTCATCCCTCTCAATCTGCATCCATTTCAGTGACATCTCCAGAGGGTTGATGCTATAGAATGAATAAATCAACATCATCATCAAAGGTGTAAATTTCAACATAAAACTTGAACCAATTCCTCAACAGTTGCATTTTTCCAAAATAATTGAAGCCAAACAACACTTCAGAAATAAACATTTCAACTCAAGATGATGCAATGTGGTAAAATAACCACATGCTGGCCATTACAAAGAACTGCTGCTCATGAAGACACTTTGCAACCAATCTTTCTAAATTTGTCAAAGTTGAATAAATTCAAAAAAAGTTCAAATAATTTTTGCACTGAATAATATATACAAAGATACAAGGGAAAAGAACTCACTCAGAAATGGCATTGTACCAGTCAGGATACCTGTCCCTGAAAACTGATTTGAAAGACCTGCCTTCCCTGGCAGCAACAGGATCTGAACCTGTATCAGCCTTATTGTCAAAGCTCTTCACACTGAAACCCAGGCCCAGGATTGGGCCAAGCAGGGCATAGGCTGCTAGCAAAACACCAGCTGTCACAATCCCTGACACTGCAGGTGCCACAAAGGTACGCTCTACATCCACCCTGTCAAAGAGCCCCAAGCCAAAAAGTCCTCCTGGGGAATACAAAAAAAACAATAAACAAGAATTAAGATTCAACAATGCAAATCCATTCAAAATTTTTCTTCAGTCTTCCCTTTCAATTGTCAACTAAAAATTCAACCTGTCTGTTCTAATTTGAAAAAAAGTACCTGTCATCAGCCACATTCAAAAGAGGACATCAAGCTTTTTGATTGAATAAGCTATACAAAAGGAAATAATTTTTTTGCCTTGTGTTTTCTTTGTAACTTTGTGAATTGATTTCAGCAAAATAAATTATTGGTTGGATCCTCTTCAAAACAGATGGAAATTTACACAATATTCAACATATTCAATTTTTAAACTTTCAGATGCACAATTTTTCCTCATGTGTTTCAAGTTCCTCATTATTTATTTTGAGCTGACTTTGAGAAATA